CAAGCAGGTTGTCCCACTTGTTTACCATTTTGTAGTCAAATTTCATATCTGGCAAATGGAGCTGGGCTTCTGGTTTCAGAATGACAACTATAATATGTGGATTTATACACCACAATTTACAGTAATTTAAATAAAATTTACCATATAAAAAAACATGTATTTATATGATTATATAAAAGTGTATCAAAATCTTTATACAAAAGAAATTTAAAAAAAAAATCTTTTTTTAAATCATATCAAAACAAGACTTTATAATATTGCTTAGCTGAAAACATTCTAGAGAATTTTAATTGAATCTCCCTTCACTCTTGTGTGTTTAGTACAGAGAAGCCAATCAAATTAACAAAATTAATTAACAAATCCAAAAGACTTCTGATCTGAAATTTTAGGTCACATCAAAAAAAAATTCTTTTTCATTGAGATAATTCAATTTTCAAACACCATAATTCAAAGCCTATTATTAGCATAGTTTTTAAAAGAAATTTTTTAACTTGTCCCCCCCCTTAAGACTGACTGATAAAATAGTTGATCTTAGCCAGATGAAATAATGCTGACAAAGAATTCAAAATATTGCAAGCAAGCAGCTTTGAATTTCTATATTTGTATTTAATGAATAATTCAATGCACAAAAGGATTCTTTTGTCTGTCTTCAAGACAGAAAATTAAAACAACTAGCATATTTTTCAGGAAACTTTAACAGTAATCTCATAAAAACATTTTTTTCAGTTAAGACCTCTTTAATTTTAGTTATAAATGACTTGATATTAAAGTTCAGTATTTCATCCAAAACTAATGCTACATTTGCCTTAAAAATATTGAGTTCAACATAAGGTAAGAACATAAATATCACTCTTATCCAGGTTTTTTTCTTTCTTTGAAAGCAGATTAGTACAAAAGTTATTTAAAATCTATAAGTAATTTCAACTTGACTAATACATCATAACCATCATCAATTATTTTATTTGCAAGCTAGTTTTCTTGAACACACATAATCAAACTTATAGAAAAAATAAGAAAATTCTTTTCAAATTGGATATGGTATAGTTTTAGAAATTCAGATCTTAGCCAAAATTGTGGTGGGAGGAATTATATTATACAATATCAGATTTTATTAAGCAAATTGATGTTTTCACAATAAAATTGGTGTTAATCAACCAACAGTAGTAAAGTTTTTCAAGATATACTCATGATAAAGACATTTGAAATTCAGCTTATATGCTTGCATTAGAAATATTACAAATAGTTTATTAAGTAATGTGAAATTTTATTATACTAAACGATATAATAGTATAGTGACTGATATTTATTTTGTAATTTTAGATATAAAGATTGCAATAGGTTTTAAGAAAGATATAAAGGTTGCAATGGGTTTTAAGGTAAATGTACACATTGCAACTGATTGTAAGGAATATGTACAGATTGTAGCGGGTTGTAAGAAAGTTATAAAGGTTGCAATGGGTTGTAAAGAAAATAAAAACCTCAAATGAAAGAACAGATATTGTAAAGCCATTGAGAAAATGCCTTTGTAAATTGTGAAAAATTGTGGTAATAATTTTGTAATTTTAGATATCTAAAGATTGCAACAGGTTCTAGGAGAGATAGATTGCAGCAGGTATTGAAAAAGATATACAGGTTGCAATTGGTTGTAAGTAATATGTACAGATTGCAATAGGTTATAAAAAGATATACAGATTGCAATGTGTTTGTAGAAAGTTATAATGGGTTGTAATGAAAATAAATCCTCAAAAGAATGACCAGATATAGTAAAGTCATTGAGTAATAAAAAAATGCCTTTGTAAATTGTGAAAAATTTGAACAAGTATCAAAGAACAATCAAAGAAGAAATTGTAAACATTGGAAAGATAAGGAGAAAAAACTGGTTTAAAGAATGTCAAGAAAAGAGATTTGAGAAAGATTAAAAAGGCTAATAAGCAATAAGAGTCGGATGACCAGCATGAAAATATTTGAAGTTGGAGTTGAAAATATAAATAGAAAATATGCAGAATATTAAGAACATTGGCTAAAGAAAACAGAAAAAAAACAACAACCACCTTTATGCAAATATCACAAATAGAAATGTGTTAAGCTGGACAAAGTACAAGAAAACTGATTTCTTAATAGTAAATTTTAGTGATTAATTAGATGGACCTCGGGAATGGGATAGTGATTGGATCTTTTATGAAAATAGTCAACCAAAGGAGCAGAAACAATGGCTACAGGTAATATTTTCGGTTAGTATTTCAAGCAGTAAAAAGCTGATGATGGTATTAACAGAAATGCAAAGAATTATTTTAAGTTGGACAAAAGTTTTTTTTTTTTTTTTTTTTTTTTTAATAGTACTGGTCACAAACAACAAGCCTTAAGCTAAAGATTATATTTATTCAAGATAATGCTTCTTAACATTTTTCTGTAAACTATGGCCAACCTTGCCAAAAATGATTTTAAATAGAATGGGGTCACACTGCCTCTCCAGATATTACTCTAATAGGAGACTTGTAGCCAATCATTACAAATGGAAACAAAACAATATTCAAGCAAAAATCTCAGGGAAACAATAAAAAAAAAAGTGCTGCAATGAGTGAAAGACTGAAAGATGGTTAAACTGTCAGCTGACCCATATTTGGGTATTTGAGATATGGTGCTAATCAAATACATGTTTCTCTGACCTGTATCTTTTGGATTTATTAATAAATAAAAATGTACTTTGCACTTTGTTTGTCTAAGAAAACTTGACATTCCTAGAACAAGTTATCAATATTCCTTTTTAAATAAGTATACATATTATAAATTGTATCCAGAAAATCTTGCCAACATTGGTTTGTTAATACCAATTTTAATGTGAAAACATTGGTTATATAATAAAAGCTAAGATTAAAAAGATAAAACACAGACAGACCTCTTTTTCTCAAGTTTTACATCAATAAGTTCTTTTAAGTGATCCTTTTCTAGATAGTCAAATAGAAGTCCTGACCAGAAGTAAAACTATAAAACTAATTTTAAGAATTGCTTGCCTGATGTAAGATAATTTGAATGTTTAAATTTAAGAAAATAAAAAATAATCCAAATATATTTTTGTTTTCATATTTAAAACAAACTGTTTACAATAACTGACTTAATTGAAACAGCTAATATACCCTGCTTTGAAGCATAACAATTTTGTCCCTAAAGTGTGGTTTTTCATATAATAAACAGGAGAGTCATTTAGCAGCAGACCTACAAGAATAACAAACAGGAATGTCCTATTAGTGATTCTTACAAAGTATCCGGCTGATAATGCCAAAAGTTTTAAAAAGGACAGCAATTGATGACTTACCTAGAGATTTAGCAAGATGGACCAATGACAAAGTGGAAAAAGGTTTTGTATGATGCGTTTTGGCCTATAGAACTTCAATGGATTATGCTTATGTTTACATTGATGCAACTACATTTGTGTACAAGAGACACTGGGAATTCTAATTTAAAAAATTTTTTTTTTTTTAAATATATGTTTGGGGGTCTATAATCTAGTTGATTTCACTCAGATTCTTTTTCTTTGTTTCCATCACACATTGTAATAAAGGAAGATCTGCCAAGTATGGTGAAATGTTGTAAGAACCTTGATGCAAATTTACTGTCAATGATCTAGTGATTTTAAACATTTTCGTCTTAGTAAATTGTTTTCTCCTAAAGGACAAAATGTGTCACATGAAAACTTTTCCCACTTTATCATACTTCTTTCCCTTAAAATTGTTCTCGATATATATAAAAATAAAATAAAATCTATATATATTGTCATCCTATATACTCTTCACTTTCAAAACAAGTAATTTGACATGGGTCTGAAATGATAATGTTTCACCATTTTATATGCATTCAGACCCAACCATATAACCTTAATTTCCTATATTTCTTGGATAGTCTACAGAATAAACAATTACACAATTTAGATAATAAAAAAAAAAAAAGGGTAACTTGGGTTGTTTCCCTTAGATCATGCTGCTATAAAGTAAGTGGGAGGAGGGGGAGATTAAAGCTTGTTTTTTTTTTTTTTTAGAAGTTCAACAGGTTAATTTCCAGTGATGAAGTAGCAGAAATTAGTGTTGCCAATGTGCAATGGCTACAAGCCCAATCTCAATAGTCACTCATTCAGTACTGAACAAGCATAACATTGCTTACATTTTTTACATTTTTTTTTTTTTTTTGACATCAAGCAAGGAAGAGGAAGAGAGAAAGATAGGATCTATATTAACCAACTTGTGATATAACTAATTCTAACTTGAGAGATGTCAGGTGTACAAAACGTTAGCTAATATTTTTTGGCTGTAGAGTGCAAAATAAATACAAAATTTAAAAAACAAAAATTAACCAAAATTTCATTATTAGAGATATTTTTAAAAAGTATTATCAAAGGCTTTACAGAGATTAGAATGTGAAACAGTGGCTTCTGATTGCATAATTAACAATTTTCTTCCTGTTGTCCAAGAGATATTGTGTGGGTCTGAAAAATCAATTTTACTCAAGCTTGAACACCAGAAAGATAAGGTAATTCAAATAGAAACTAGTTTCATAACACCTGGAAAACCTTTGTTTTGTTTTATTAGAATTAATGCATGAATAATTTGCTAGAGTTGTGTTTTCATAAATTGTGCTTCTGGTACCAAAAATATAAGATTAAAAAATTATTAAATATAAAAGAAAATTTTTCATTAGAATTCTGTGAAAGAGCTTTAGTATTGAGCAGATGAAAGAATGTTAAGACAAAAAGTACTGGGAGTGAGGAATATATTGTTATTTTGCACCCTGACCAATATAAGAGCGGGGGAAAGCCCTGGACTCTCATTGCAATGGTGGTGGTGGTGGTGGTGGTAGGAGAGTAATGATAATGGTGCTGCTTTGTGAAGCCCTTCTCCGAGTATGTTTGCAAGCAACAGTGTTAGAGCCAAAGAAAAATGAAAAAATTTAAAAAAAGTAAGACGAGCTCACCTTCACGTTTCATTCCCATTGCCAAGCACTTCATATACCTACAGTATTGGCACCTGTTCCGTTGTCGTTTGTCAATTATACAGCTTCTGTCATCACGGCAAGCATAGGTAAGATCTTTACGCACAGTTCGCTTAAAAAAGCCTTTACAGCCTTCGCAACTGTAGAAACAAAAGAATAAAAATTTGTAAAGATTTTTTAAAAATTTACTTTATGCAATTTTTGTAATAATGAAAATAATCATCTTTTTTTTTGTTGAATAGGCATTTCTTGAGTGTTAACCATCATTTATTACATAACAGGATAAGCTTATATATTTGCTCATTATATAATACATAAAATCTTTGTTACTACATGAAAAACAAGATAGATGAAAATGATATATAACAATTTAAAATTTGATCAGAGTAGCTATTTAATTTTTTCAAAATTTAAAGAACAAAGAATTACTTAAAGTAAATATTCTCATAAGACTTCAAAAACCAATTCAATAAAATCTAGCCAGTTGAAAAATATAAATGAAATATTAATTGGGTAATGATGCTGAAAAGGTGAAAAGGGTACAGAATCTACAACAGTCGATTCGTTAATCATTTCAAAAAAGAAGTTTTATTAAGCATGCTGTACCTGAAAGGCTTCTTATAATATTCAATGATGCAAAACAGGTCTAGTCACTACAAAATAACATCTTGTTCTAATCAAGTTTTCATTGAAATATGGTAAAACAAATTAACATGATTAAAGCAGAGTAAACACTCCAAGAACTGAGAGAGGACAATCTTTATGCAATTCTGATCACACCATATTGCTCTACAATGATTGCTTCTCTGTTTCTTTAATTAAAATCATTAAAGCAAAGTAACCACTCCAAGAACTGGGAGAGGACAATCTTTATGCAATTCTGATCACACCATATTGCTCTACAATGATTGCTTCTCTGTTTCTTTAATTAAAATCATTAAAGCAAAGTAACCGCTCCAAGAACTGGGAGAGGACAATCTTTATGCAATTCTGATCACACCATATTGCTCTACAATGATTGCTTCTCTGTTTCTTTAATTAAAATCATTAAAGCAAAGTAACCGCTCCAAGAACTGGGAGAGGACAATCTTTATGCAATTCTGATCACACCATATTGCTCTACAATAATGTCTTCTCTCTTTCTTTAATTAAAATCATTAAAGCAAAGTAAACACTCCAAGAACTGAGAGAGGACTATGTTTATGCATTCACACCATACTGCTCTACAATGATTGCTTCACTGTTTCTTTAATTAAAATCATTAAAGCAAAGTAACCACTCCAAGACCTGGGAGAGGACAATCTTTATGCAATTCTATTCACACCATATTGCTCTACAATAATCGCTTCTCTCTTTCTTTCATTCTACACTGAACAAAAATATCCACTAGGAAACAAGTAATAGTTGATGTGGATGACATGAATACTTTTATTTCATTGACTTGACATTGAATATATGAATATATAATATTATATTGTCAACATAAGGAGTTATTTAAGTTAACCTTTAGCACTCTGCATTATTAATATTACTTCTCTTTCCAACTGCATTTGTTTTTAAGACTTCTCAATTACAATATCCTTATTGTTAATTTCACTCAAATGTGTTTTTTGTTGCCATAGTAGGATATGGCAACACAACTATGAAATTCAAACACACTATTGTGTAGTAATCAGTCTTCTTCAGTGGCAGGATAAAATTTTTGTACAGCAAATGAAATCATATACAGTATGATGAGGGTTAAAACTCAGACATTGTATAAGGCAGTATTTATCAAATTTTTATTTTATTTATTTATTTTTTTTTTTTTTTACTACAGACTGCACTTGTAGAATAACTTAAACTCTAATGTACACTTTAAATTTTAATAAAGAAATATTAGTCATGAAATATGAATTTTTGGTTTAGCATTCCCAAAGAAGATTAGCAGTACAGTTATCATTTAAAGGGCTTAAGGAAGAATTTTTTTTTTTTTTTTAGAAAAGCAGATAATGACTGATTTATGACTGATTTAAATCCCTTGACAAAGGCAAAATAGAAAGGATTATCCACTTCTTAAAGATTAAGGAATCTAGCATCCATTTTGAAATAACAAATGACAAAGATTTGACTTGGGCATGGAAGCCATGTGCTTAGTGTCTCTAGCTTAAAAAAAAAAAAAAAAAAATTTAGATATAAAAAAAGTGTTTCATAAATTACTCTTATGATAACTTTGGAGTGGGGGAGGGGGCATATGGTTACCTTTCCATTTGAGAATCACTGGTATAAGGAGTGAAATATTTGAAAATATAAAACAAACATTTTAAACATACTTCTTCCTCTCCAAGATTTGGAAAAAGTCGTATCCAAATCATGCCGTGTTGATATCATAAAGATTATCCTGAGTGACAAGAGTAAACATAAACAATGACTTATTGAAATTAGAAGCATGTACTTTGTTTACTATAAGTGACAAAGTTGAAAATAGTATAAAGAACAAAGATGGTTTACACATGAACAGAAATGTTTAGAAAAAAAACCATGCAATGAAATTAAAAACATTTTTACTTCAAGCTTTTAGTTTTCTTTACAATATCATTAATAGTGACTGTATTATTTCAACATGATAGTAAAAAGTCCTGACCTAGATAAATTAATTTACAAATACCAGATAAGCCTATTGCTATAAAATTCTCTAAATTCAAATATTTAGCAACAGTTTGCAAATTCATATAAATTTAGACTTGAATTAATCTTTACCACCACTATATTTTTTGGTTCAACTCTAAGATCGGTTTATTTACTTTCTCTTATTAAGTATACTAAAATATCACAAACCTATACCCCTCGTATGTGTGTACACACATGTGTGCAACAGGTGCATGCTCAAGTGGTTAAATCATTTGCATTTGAATCTGCCTTGGTGTTACTGGTGATGAGATTGAGCACTGTAAGTCTACAGCTTTGTAAAAAGTTGTAGATTTCTGATGTCACTACTTAATCAGGTGATAGCTGTATGTTGAAATACAGTGCCAACCATTTGCAGCATATTCAGGCTGTGACTAAGTCTGTAAGTGCATAAAACTCACAGGATCACTGGCACTTCAGACATTTAAAGGGTTGATACGGTGTGTGTGTGTGTTTTTTTATATATATATATATATATATATATATATATATATATATATATATATATATATATAGAGAGAGAGAGAGAGAGAGCGCTAAACTCATTTTTAAATGGTAGCAAATTTGATTCTTAGTACCTTTCCCAAGGGAATCAGTACAAAGTGAACAAAACAACCACTATTAGAACTTCACTTCAACATCAATTTTCCACACATCCATAGAGTAATGACCCTTAATTTTGTCTAAGATTTACATTGATATTACAGCTATAGAGTAAAATGTTCAACAAGCTCCCTAGTATTCCATAATTACTGCAGTGAGTTTGATCCTCATCAGGTAACCTCAAACATGACATAGTACCCAACAAAACCAAGTTTAAATATACATAAACTACATGTACTAGATATTCAGAAACATTCTAATGTCTTGTTTCTGTTTCATCCAAATCCTTTGGACAAAGATCAGATTTTTTTTTTTGTTTTAAAAGAGAAAAATTATTAATTCTACTTCCTCCTTAATTAAATTTATATTCATAAAAACAATGATCAAATAGCATCAAACTTTTGTAATTATGAGCTTAAACTAATTATTCCAAACTGGTTCAGAAACTTTCACCACCAGCCTGTTTAAAAAAAAAAAAAAAAAAAAGATGCAAACTAATAATAAAAGATATTCAGGTCTTCAATGATGCAAAGATAGAATCAGTTATTTGTTGAATGAGCTTTTCTGAAAATGTCAGAAGCGAAAGAAGTGTCTTTGACACTTGGACTCAATTGAGTGGAAAGACTCGCTGAAGGAGGCAGAACTACTGATTGGCATCTTGGCTCCATTTCTTCCACTTTGGCTTTTCAATGGTGCCACGTTTTTTCTTGTCAAGTGGTGGGTGAAGAAACTCTCTGAAGAATCCTCTTATCGTTTGGGTCAATTCATTGATGAGGATAATTTACCTTCTACGTTAGTTTTCATGCATTTTTTTGTTTTGTTAAGTTTTGATTTTTCCTGCTTCCTTTTGCCTTTCTAATAAGAGTTATTTAGGCATACCACTTCAGAGAATATATTTATACCATTGCTTATCAAATATATGAATGGCCAGCCCCAAATCTGTATGCTTGACCACAAGCTTGAACTCAAACAGATCACTATTTTTTTCTCAACAGGCCTAGTGTATTTCTCAGCTTGTCAAATAACTAAGGAGCAAAAATAACCAATTTAATTGTATTTGAGTAAGAAGGAAAAAGTTAATACCACTGAACAAACCATATTCAGGGCAAGATAGAAAAGACATGGCAGTAAATGTTGCCTATGCAGAGACCAAGATATAATAATGGATCAATCATATAAGCAAATGCAACCAATTAGCTCAAGAGTCCAAAAATAGAGAAACAGAATATGTAATGTGATCTACTGGGAAATTTGTAAACAACTGATTTGACCATACAAACCAACAATATATGCAGAAAAGCTGCCTTAGATAAGAGACAAAGTAGAATTTTAGGGAAACAGAGCACATACTCTTGGTCAGAAGATGTACATTAGTTGATATTACTAGTCAAGCAGACCAGAGTAAACAGAAAAAAAAATTATACAATATTAACAATAACAATTATTCTGATCTTTAGAACAATCTTAAAAGAAAGTTTGTGAAGTTGAAAGAAGTGAAACATCCAAACAACAACATCCCTAAAATCAACAAGAGTACTGAGGAAAATGTTAGAGTATTATTAAGATGACAACAATAATAAAATACTACACATTTCATTGTTTGTATTATTATTATTATTAATGCCACTACTACTAGTAGTAGTAGTAGTAGTAGTAGTAGTAGAAGTATTCTACCCTTTAGTATCCTTATTGTTCTTGTTTTCAACTGAAAGTTCCAGATTAGAATTGGATGATATAAAGGTAGGTACCTCCACGAGATCGCTAAAAAAAGAGAATAGCATGATGAAAAAGACGCGCCAAACTTGACGAAAACAAAATTTTATCATCTAAATGTTTGTTATTATTAAAAGGAAAGGTCAAAGTATTTTTG